GCATCGCAAGGGCAAATACTTTCAAGTTGATATCGTATGACAGGTTAGTTTTTAATATAAACTAAATTGTTGTTATTATGTTGCAAAGTTAAGTACACCTAAAAACATGAACTTCATTGGTTTTTATTACAATTTTCTGATAGGCCACGTCGCGTATTTAAGGTGCAAACATCTTTTCGCCATGGACGAGGGCGCAATACACAAATTGTGCGGATGAATCAACCCACGTGCAGTTGTGGGAAATATGAGATACGACACTATCCATGTTCCCATATGCTCGCTGTAATGTCTGAATGCGGTGACAATCCATTCGAGTACGTTGATCTAGTATATAGGCTTTCTGTATACATGAGGGTTTGGGAAACTAAATTCAATCCAATACCGCATCAAGATTATTGGGATGATCCGCAGTGGACCTTAATGCCTAATGTACTTCTTCTGCGAGAAGTAAAACGGGATCCTAAATCTATGTCTCGTATTCTGAATGAAATGAATATATCAGATAGGTGTTTGACCGCTCGTTGCAGTGAGTACCAGCAGACAGGCCATGACAGGCGAACATGTCCAGCGAACATGTCCGGCGCGACGTGGTCGATGAAGACTATGTAATACTTACATATTGTAATAGATCATTTTTTAATTCTTTATTTGTAATATATCATTTTATTCTTTATATTGTAATTCATTATTTGTAAACATGGTCGTACATTTAAATAGATCATGCTTTATTTGTAATAGATCATTTCTATTTTTCAATTCTTTATATATTGTAATTGTTTAATTTCCTTGACAAAATTTACAACTAACATACTAAACAAATAAATTAAACAAAATGAAAATGAAAAAACATTTAACTATACCACATAGGCCTATGTTTTTTATTCTCTACTTGATTGAAAATGTCTATTACAAAATTTTAGTGAAAATCACATAGTTCTTCTACCATTTTAAGATTTTAATATTTCATCTGCTGCAAGCATTTTTTACATTTACAATTTATGAATCATATCAACATAATTTACAAATTTTATATTTTATTGGAACTTTTACCATTACAAAATCAGTAATGAAATTTTGTCAAATATGCCATAAATGTAATTAGCAAGCTCTTATTGGAAAAAAAATTCTCATTCCATTTTTTTGCAAATATTTATGTACGAAAACTATCCACATGTTACTGGACATTATTAAGCTTATGTAACTGAGACCCTAAAATGATTTTGTAAAACATTTGCATATTAGTTATAGCATAGATAACGATAGGTTCTGTTGAATTGCTTATCATATTTAATGGCACATAAATTGATAAATTTAGATTTTAGTAAATTACTTCCATGTTAATGGCACACAAATTTATACTCTTAAAGTAATCGACCACATTTGTTTTTCAAGTTGTCATGTACGAAATAATTTGAGTTTAATTGTTACAGTTAAATTACATGCTCACCAATACAGTTTTTGAAAATATATTTGTTTTCAACTGTACAGGCTTATTGGCACATCTACCTGATGAAGTCCCACTTTTTAGTCATCCACATCAGGCTGACAGTATATGGGAGGACCCGGTATGCAACCACGTTTGTTGGACTTTACGCTTACAATGAAAATACCATTCATTTTGTTTTATATTACGTGAGAACGGCATCAGTAAAGCCAAACAAAATAAATGAATTACATTATCACCGAAACAATGACAACAGAAAAAAAATATTTACAAAAAAAAATTAAATCTAATTTAAATGAACAGTGAAAGTGTGGTTTCAATCCACGCTTATAATAGTGAACAGTGAAACCATGACTTTTGTAAATGAACATGATTGGCTTAATAATATCTAAATGAATATGATTTTAAAATTATATATATGAAAAATATTATGTAAAATTAATATATGAAAAGAGGTTTTTCCCATATTATGTAAAATTTCTGAATTACACCTTCTAAACCAAAATAAAAATAAAAGAAAAAAAAAACAAATTTTAACATGACAATGGCTTTAGTAAAGCCAAAAAATTTTTATGAATCACATTATCACCAAAACAATGATAACAGGAAAAAAAACAAAATATTAAAAAATAATCTGCTTACCAAGAAATAAATGAACACAAAAAGCGTTCTTTCAATTCGCGTTTAACAGTGAAAACACTATTACGAATAGCGTTTTCTTCACAAAAGAAATGCACAGTACAATCGCTATTTGAAATAGCGTTTTATTCACAAAACGAATCCACAAATAAAGCGCTATTTAGAATAGCGTTTTATTCAAAAAAAAATTTTTACCTTAAAATCGCTATTTCAAACAGCGTTTTCTTAATTAAAACCGCGATTCACAATAGCACCTTCACTATTCATCAAGTTTTGGGCTCCAAACAGTGAAAGCGCGATTTGTAATAGTGCTTTAGCTTAGTTTGGAAAATCCGTCCAAACTAGGCCTAGTTTAGGAAATAGGAAGCAAAAGAGGCTTAATATGGGAAAAGCCTCTAAACTATTGGCACCGTGTTCTGTATTTTATAAATTAAAAAAAATTATTATAGATATATTCTCTTTGTGTTCTTAAATCTAATAGTGGATTTTGTAGAGTGTTTGGACCATGGCTTTTTTGGATTTTTTTCACGTAAATTATTGTGTTTATGTGTGGTTGATTATTAATGTGTTAATTGGATAAAGTGACTAAATTGAACATAAAATTGAAATTTTTAATTGGATAACCTATTTACCCCCTCCCTAGGCACATAATAATTGGACCATGATATTTCGAAGTTGTCGCAAAATCTATGTAAAAATAAACTAATCCTACACTATTTAAAAATAATATTCAATGAGACTAACATATAAATTACTACAGAGTTGAACTCAAAGATAATTCAAGTTCGTTAATGACAAAAATATTCTAGGATCAATGATAAAATAAATTAACATGATTCATCTTAAAACCATCTATTTTCTATTCCAATTCCAATTTTTAAATATTCTAAATATATTTTGAAGGATATAGCAAAGTGTCAAAAGAAGCATTTCCAAATTGATTGTGCCAGAATATGATCTCAGTCAACTCAAGCCTTGGCAGTAGTAGTTCCATGAATAGGCAATGCTTCAACATATTATCCCATCAACCATGCTGGGACGCCCAGTGGGAGGTGATCCCAGCACCCTTAAGAAAAAAATTTCCCCGGAAAAAACGCTATCTGTAATAGCGATTTCAGTTCAAATTTTGTTGCCAAAAAACGCTATTTGTAATAGCGATTTCATTTAAATGAAATCGCTATTACAAATAGCGTTTTTTGGCAACAAAATTTGAACTGAAATCGCTATTACAGATAGCGTTTTTTCCGGGGAAATTTTTTTCTTAAAATCGCTATTACGAATAGCGTTTTTATGCAATTTTAAAAAAAGCGCTGTTAGGAAAAGCGTTTTTAACAAACCCTAGAAGCGCTATTTGTAATAGCGACTTATTAATCAAAGTCGCTATTTGTAATAGCGATTTTACTGTTCACCTACTTTTACGCTCCTAACAGTAAAAGCGCGAATAGTAATGGCGTTTTAACTTAGTTTTGGAATTCCGTCAGAAGTTGGCCTAGTTTTGGAAATACAATACAAAAATGGCTTATATTGGGAAATGGCCCACAAATCCTGAAACAAGAGGATTTCCTACAAAATCTCCCTGAAAATATAAGAAAAAAAATTATTTATATCTTTATATAATTTTGAGTATTTATAATATAATTAGTATATTATTCTTAAATTTTAACTAAATTTGATTTGATCCCCTTAAAATCTGAATAAATTTTTTTTGTTGTCCCTTGAAATTTTTTCTAGATTTTTTTACTTGTCCCAATATTTTCCAATTACTCTTTTTTAATCGAATATAACTAAAGAGTAATGTTAGCGAAGAAGAATTCAGGAACAAAAAAGTACTAAGAAAAAATACTGTGATCTAAGTTTAATTATTGTATGGTGGAGATTCACACATTATTTTTCTTAATATATATATATTTTTTTATATCTGAGGCCTCGTTTGGGGACTGACTATTTTAGCCAAAAAGTCAACTAAAACTAGTCACATCACCTCTCTTTTTCTGTACTTCTTTTCGTAAAAAGCCAAAAAGTTACTAAAATAATCTGTTCCCAAACGAGGCCTAAGTTACTATTCTTTAGTATTACTGCGCAATTTATATCATCATTTTTATTCACCCTCTACACTTTTTAATACCATTATATAATTAACACTATGAATATTATTAGTTTTAAATCCAAGGAAAAAGAATCAAAACGAAAAGTATTAAATAATAATAAACAATGTGAAAATTTATACATCAATTAGACTTTTGAAATTGTTTTGTTGTAAAAAATTATATTTCAAAAGAATTTAGAGGAGAAGACATAATCTTAGTTCTATCCTGATTGGATTGTTAATCCAGTGATATGCACATTCTTGCATTTTGATGACGTAAATGATGGCCAGTTTATTAATATGTAAGAATTTTAATCTTACAAAATCGTGAAATATTCAATACATATGGAGGTAAATATTAATAATCCTATACTTATTTATCTTACTAATTTAGTTAAATGGTCAATCCAATGATTAATGTTAGGAATTATGAAAAAATATTATGAAAATGATTATGAAAAATTATCCATATTTAAATCACATATAATAAAACACCACACACTAATTAAACGATAAAATATCTTCATAATATTTTTCTCATGATTCTATTATTATTCTTTTGTTTTTGTAACTTGTCTTAAATGACTGTTTATATAAATTCTCTAATGCTACACTATAACGGGCACTAGGAGTCTGCGTGCTATACACACGGCCTTTCTCACCAGTAATGCAATAATCGCAGAGTATATAATTCTATCCAAAAACATGTGAGGCTTACAGTATTACTTAGCGCCACCTATAACAAAACAAACACGCACTAAAAAAAAATGCTGAAGATTCCACGCAGACAACTGTTCTAACATAAGAAAATCCTAGCTGCGGGCTTTCAACTTCCATGACTCTCAATCACAAAATCAAATTAGAATAAGTGAATAAACAGGGCACAATACATTTTATAACAAGACATCAGGGTAATGATTCGGTGCCATGAAACAAAAATGAAGCTCAACAACATTTCCCTTACTTGGAGAATGATCCTTGCTCACCTTTCATACATAACTAATACAAAAAACAAAAAAACAAAACTACTCTCCCATGATATGCTATACATTATCACCTTGGTATACATGATACAAACCAGTGGTCACTGCGAGGCAGCTATCAGAATCTTGAGTTCACTGGCACTATAACAAGTTAAACTAGAGTGCCTGCTACTTCAGCAACAACACCGACCAATTAGGCATCTACGAAACTCTTTGGAACCCCCATATCCATTTTATTTCGTTATTGGGCATAGGATGAATACTCATACAATGCCCTGCTATGAAAGTTCTCCATCAAAACTGATCAAGCCTAGCACCGAAAGACAATTAAATTTATTCCGCCTCAAGGGTTTCTCTGATACTAGTGGTCTTTCTCCGTAACAAGGCCCTGCAAATTGAGACAACTGCAATGAGAGCTATTTCAACATGGTCGGAGCTATTTGTCTTTACACAAACCTGACCCATTTTCCGGCTGTTTAAATTGGCACTAACTGACATTCTCGTTCCTCGACTTAATCGGAAGTCAGACTGAAAATTTCCACCCAACAGTGTCTCTTTATTAACTGAGAGGACTGTCATTGTCAGACTCACACTTTCATTTCTCACAGGGTAGTCCCGACCCCTTAAAGTAGCTTCCAAACTCCCTCCATAAGCTAATTGTCCATGACCCCCCATGCAACCGGCATTCATTAATAACTTCAGTCTATTCCCAACTGAGACACCGTCTTCAAGCTTAGCACCAATATAATACTCCTTCCCAAAAGATGTCACCGAAACACCACATTCAGTGACATTGTGTTTCAAATACCTCAGCTTCGCGTTGCTGCGAACAGTATAGATCAGATCTTTGGCAGCAGATTGAAGATCAAGGCCGACACTATAAATGGGTCCTCGAGGATCCACATAAACTGTGGTACATTCTGATTGAATACTGAAATCTTGCTTGTCCTTGCTCATTTGTCCTGTGACACAGGCAAAGACATTGTGCTTTATTTCCATACAGGTCTCCAGGTTTATCCCATCAAACCCCACATCATGATCCCATCCATGTGGATCAAGAACGGGTCTCACAAGCCACTGATCATTTGTTACAAGGCAACGAAATCTATGTACAGGGCAATCTGCGTCAAAACTTGGAGGGACTGCCATATCCGGTAGTTGAACAGCCTCTGGAGGCTCCTGATTATCAGTATTATCATCACTAGCCAAACTCCCATCTTTGAGAATCTTGTTCTCTCTCTGCCTACGAGACTCTTCTTTCAATTGTTTCTTCATATACAAGGTCTCCCGGTAATCCAGCTCATCAAGATAGTCCTTTTTCTGCAAATTAGTCAATTTCTCAAACTGAGATTTTGTCAGAATTCGAATAGGTGGTAATTGGTCATACTCGTCTTCTTCCTCCGTGTCTGAAAAAGAAATCTCATCAGCATCAATGTCCACTCCACTTGGGCCCAAAATCGTGCGATGCCGTAGAAAAGAAGAGAGAAGATGGGGCAGAGAAGGCAACCGTGTAATACTTGATGGCCCCAGTTCAATACTGTCTTGTAATTTCAAAATCCTATTAACATCGCCCAGAACTTTAGTACATATGCATAACAACAAGAACTGAGATTTCCAAACCTGTCCGTTTGGAAGAATTTTCTCACCCGTGATATCTGTTTTACAATGAGGATGATTCTCCACCAAAAGTACCTGGTTTTCAAGTTTCGAATCTGAAACTGCCTGTTGAATATAATGCTGCATCAAATCTGTGCAGTGAGTCACATAAGATTCATAGCTGACAGGATACCCATCGGGTGCTTCAGGAAGAGCTGAGAAAGAATGAGTCATGACAAGGATGGTGTTGAACCAAATTGCAAGCCCAAAGACCTCCGTCATAAGCTTCAAAAGGGGAAAATCACTACAACCCACATTCATTAGGTCAAGCCGTTCAAAATATAAAACAATATCTGGTGGGGACTTTTTAATGAACCTCTTCACGGAGCACAAAATCTTTCGATTTCTTCTGAAAGTATTTGTAGAGGAAGGCAGAAGACCTGGTGTGTCGATGAACGATATTTTAATTCCATTAACCATTCCCACAATCTCTTGGATGTGATCTGTGGCGGGTTGAAATGCATCAGTCACGGCCTTGGTTTGACCAAAAATAGAATTTATGGTTGCGCTTTTGCCAACACCTGTTTTCCCCAAGACAAGCACTCTGAATGAGAAATCCAACTCAGGTAGTCCAGATGACTCTTGTTCTGCTGCAATTTTTCTAGCTCTATCACTTCTGAGATTGGCTCTTTTCAGATCTGATTCCCCTGCTCGTATCAAAGTTGCAAGGTGTATCCGATATAAGACCTTTGCCACCAGAAGATTGTCTTGTGACTGCCCAAGCCGTCGAAGAAGACGCAAGAACTGAATTTGGAGATCCTCAATCTTTGCCAACGGATCCAACTTCTCATCAGTAGTGCTACAATGAGACTGACAAGAATTTTCCACCACAACTTGCTGTGAGGGGTAATGATGATGACTCTCATTATTAATAATGGATGAGTGAGATGCATCAGCTGCCACTGGCACTGCAACCAAATTGGTACTGTGAGCTAAACCCATAAATAAAATGGGCAATAGGGCCATTTTCTTTTTAAGGATAAAATGGAAAAATAAGGTCTTGTTGGACAAAATACATCAATATTGGGAATTGAGAAATGTTCAGTCCACAAGTTAATAGATGACTTCCAATGTTGAAGCCTTGAGCCAACCATCAGTAATCTTACAACTAGAGTGACACCATTCTAACTATCACATATCTATGTCGTGGGCATTGAGTGGTAATTAGTTTTGGAACTAGATGCTAGTAAGACGTTATGCAGTGAGACCCTTGACCTGAATCTAGTGAGAGCCAAGTATCTTCCATGTTGCAGCTAATCCCCAGAATCCCATGGTAGTTTTAACCATTGGAAACAACAAAATTTTGATAAAAGACTCCATGGTTTTAAGTTTAACCAAAATAATTCTGGGAAATTAGGGGGTGTTTCATAAATATACGTGTATGTATATATACATGGGTACGTGGTTTATGAGTTTTTATTTATATGTATTTGCTTGGGCATATATGTTCATATATGTGTGTGTGTGTGTGTGTGTGTGCGCGAGCGCGTGCGCGTGTAGGGGATTTCATTCTCCTCTCTATGTTGATTTTTCATCTGGTTTTTTGGTAGTTGGTCCTTCAAAGAATCCTTGTTTTTTTTTTTTAGTTTTTAATTTTTAGTTCACACCCAATGAGGATGATCTTCAAAGAATCCTTGTTTTTTTTTTTTAGTTTTTAATTTTTAGTTCACACCCAATGAGGATGATTGCATTTTTTTCAGTTCTATTAAAGAGAGAAAACATATCTGCCAAAATATTTCAATGTGAAAAGTACAAGGCAAAATTAGAAATTTAACCATTTTCATACTTTGCTTGTGCAGATCAAACAAGCTTAATAAGATTCAGAACTTAAATTTCAGTGCACACCAAATGTATTTTCAGATTAAAAAAAACCATCATACAATTTCAGTTTCAGATTTATCAAACACCTTCTTAGGTCATATCTTAAAACTTTATTTCACACATATAAAATGAACACTCCTAGAAGCAGAGTATCAATTATGAAAGAAGCAATATTTTCTTATTTTTGCACAGATTCCAATTCACACAAACAACTCCTGAATTTTAAACAAAAGGATCTTTGGCTCTTAGCCAGAAAATGATTGTTATGGTGACCAGTGTTTTTAAAGGCTCAAGGTGCACCAAGGCACCAAAGGTCTCTTGGGGCTTAGGCACAAGGCAAGGCGCACACTTCATTGAAGCGAGGCACACTTTCTCAGTTAAAAAATAGATAAATTAACAGACTAATAATTTGGACATCAACATAAGCAAAATAAAGAATTCGCAACTTATAACCACAAAAACCAAGAATTTAAAAATAAAAAATAAAAGAACTAAAGCAAATTGTAGAAGAATTTCCCAAAGCCATAAAAGTCCATATCATTCAAAATGCAAAATGAACAACATTCAATAAAACACAACCATTCAAAAACACCAATATTTAAGTTTAGTTTAACCATCTCAAATCATCAAAAGCAAACAAAAGAACTAAACATCAAACATAAGTATCTGACAAACACTGTGAGTCTATGCCGTTTTGGCAACACACCAAAAGCGCAGCTTTTTGTGTGTGTTGCCCAAAACGCCAGGTTGCCCAAAACGCCCCAAATCCCATTTGGGAAGACCAAAAACGCAACACCCAAATTTACCAAACTACCCTCTAGAAAATTTTAATTAATTAATTCAAAAATCAGAAAGTAAGGATATTTTAGTCATTTTGGAGTGATGTGACACTTTTAAAAAATATTAAACCAAAAATAAAAAAAGTCATCTTTTTACTAACTTCCCAAATCACTTCCAAAAAAGCCAAAAAGCTTGATAAAAAGCCAAAAGCCAGCTTTTTACCAACTTCCCAAAACACCCCACTAATGTTTTAAGTCTAAACATTTCAAAACCTAAGGAGGACCTAACAATTGTATCAAAGCCAAGCAAACCATCATCTTCTTCTCCATCACTGGATTTATATCCCTCATCATCTTCCTCTGTCTCATACAAGCTTGCCTCCTCATCTATTAATTGAATTAGGGTTAATGATTTAGATTTCCTTGACTGTGCCCTTGAGCTTAAAGTTGTTACTCTAGTTTTTTGACTACTTTTTTCTACTCCAAATGATCTAGCAGCAGTGCCCCATGTCAAACCATTATCATTATCAAACACTGGCTCACCATCTTCATTTGATTCTCCATCCACCCTCCCAAGCAACCACTCATTGCTTTCATCAACATTTTGTAAAGATACAAGATCAAGGGTGCCACGCATATCATATCTACATCTCAATGTTTCATTATAGTTGACAAATACTAACATTGAGATGTCAACGCTAGGCCGAAAACCCGAAAGGGCGACCTAGGTAAAAGTGAAGCTACAAAAATTAGAAAATATATTGTTATTAAATTTTGTATCACTAAAAGAAATATTTGAATTCACCAAGAGCATTACTAATGAATGTTAAATACTCACATGTTCAAATAAAGTCCAATTTCGTTCACAACCGGATGCACTACATGTTAGATGTAGAATTTTTATGACAAATTTAGGGTTTTAGAACAACATGCAACCCACCAAACAGCTGCGATGATCATCATTAGTTAGCAATAAATTTTACCAAGTATTATCTAAAAGTAATTCTAAAAATAAAAAATAAGAGTCTATATTATTTAGTGCTTTTGTGTTTCTTTGCCTAATCATCCCAAAGAGGTTATCAGCTAAAGTGATTAAATCTTGAACATTGACATTTGGTACCAACATTTGCATGCACTCATAAAACCCATTCATGACTTCATCATCATGTTGCACCTCAAGTACTTTTGGATAAAAGAACACTACATTCAAAAAGTATACAGTTGCATGTAAAGGACAATGGTCCCGTTTAGTGTAGCTGTTAAAATAGATTATAGATTATAACTTAATAGATTATAGATTATGACTTTAATCAGAAGCTGATAATCTGTTTGGTGTAACTGTTGGATTATAAATTTAAGTTGCTAATTAATGTTTGTTAAATAAGCTGTGAAGTAGCTTTTTTAATTAACTTTTATTTTTTGTTATTCACTACTTGTCTACATTTCTTATAAAAAAAAATAATAATAATCTATAGTCCATTTTGGTCTTTTTCTATTTTTAAAAAAATAAAAAATAAAAAAATTTAAGAATATAATCGTAAATTAACATATCCACAGCAGAAGCTGATAATCAGAAGTAAGGGGTGAACAGCTTTCAGAATCAATTTTTTTGAGTTAAAATAAGTTGTTAGATCAGAAACTGTTTGAAATAAATTTAACTAAACAGTCCAAAATAACTTTTACAAAGCTGAAATCTATAAGTTGGCTAAAAAAAACGCAAACAAACACCCCGAATGCAGTTAGACATCCAAGCTTCTGTCAATGATTTCAAAGACTTCGTCGTATTTCTCTTTCTTGTGACCAAATGAACTTTCAATGCATTGTTTTGTCCTTTCCATGATCTTGTAGATGAATCTCATGGGAAGTTTTTCTCAATGTCAACCAATTTAAGCACTTTAACAAGAGGACTCGAGGCCTTAAGGGCGAATACAACATTACTCCAGAATGAAGGCATCAATCAAGTTTGTGCTATTCTTTTTCCTTGTGGCTCCTTTGCCCATTTGCTTTTGGTCCAATCTACTGAGGTGACCATCTTTTGCAAGTTGTTCTTTTGTTGATGCATCCTAGACAACGTGCAAATCTAATTTTTGTTGGTTTGGCCAAATTTTTTAGATTTGCATAACGCCTCATCGTGTTTAGCAAAGTAGGATGGTTATAAATATGACCTTGTATTGTAATCCCCCATTCAAATGTCTTCTTAAGGCGAGGTATTTTGAAAACATCTTCTAAAATTAGATCAAAACGATGGATTAAAAAAATTGCTTTAAATACTTAAGACTTCTTGTTGGCACAAAAAATTCAACCAAATTTATGATAAGGTTCTAGATTCAATAGGATGATGAGACTTTTAGTCTTTACATATGATGAGACTTTTAGTCTTTACAAGAAAATGACACATGAAGTCTACCGAGAAGACAACAAGTTCAATCAAGTGACAATACATACAGAGCCTATAGTGGAAACGTTGTAGGATACCACCTTACTCAAGTTATTAAAGTGACACGTGAAGCCTACAAGACTTGGAAGAATAGTACACTCAATCGAAGAATAAACCTATAAAGCCTAGAACAAGGAAGGTATAGAAGATGAAATTCAAAGGATAAATACGGTTAATTTGATAAGATTACACCTAAATTCAAATGGTGTTATCATACAATTTAAAATTCAAAATAGAGATAAGATTCTCTTATCACGTAAATGGTCCTCTATAAATATGAGGACCATCACACAAAATGATGGATGAGAAATAAAGGATCAGAGATTAGGGTTCAGAAACAAAAAAATCAGAGATAGATATAAATTAGAGAAAGTTCTCAGAAGAAAGAAGAGAGACCAAGAGAATTCAAGAGCAACGTGTTAAGAGAGACAAGTGTCAGTATTCAACACTCTATACACAAGCACATAGTACAATGGCAAGCAATGGGTAAAGGGTTCCAAACCCAACAATTGTACCTTTTGTATTCAGGAGTTTTAAATCCCCAAAAATTCATTAAAATATAAAAATATATTTTAAATTTTCTTTTGTTAAATTTTTTGTTCTTCATTGATTGAAGGTTTCATTTGTTTTAAAGTGTGTAATTAATAATCTGAAATACAGATCGGAAATAGGAGTCTGCTATCAAATAATCAAACTGTTCAGGCTAAAAACTAAACACTAGACATTTGGAACATGAATTTCGAAATGTGTTGAAACATTTCACGTTTCAAAATTTGTCTACACTTCTCTATTAGGGTTTTTCAATATTTGATGATGTATCGATTTTTATTTTTTTTTGAGTTTGATCTAGTGTCACAACACAAAATATTAA